CCGAAGACCCCAATTTCGGGTTGGGGGGGGGTACGGGCTCCATATGTGTTTTTCCGATGTTCCCGGACCCCCCCCACTGGAAATGGAGGGTAAATCTGAGCCTTCGGGTTGGGTTGGGGTGGTTTGGTGGGTGGTGAGGGAGGGGGTCGACGACGGAACGAGGACGTTGCAACAAGTGTCCGTCGCGACACGCACGCCAGCCAGGCATGTTGGATGCATTCAGAGCCCGTTCTCTATGCATGCCAGCAGTCGTGCAACCGCGGAGTCGTGGGGAGTTTTCTCGCCAGGGTCTCTGTCTCCCGTTCCGCAGCTTATTTTGGGGGCTCAGCTTGAGTCCGCCAAGGACGATTGTGCTACTGAACTGCACCTATCGTTTGAGAAACTTCCGATCCAAACTGTCAGTTCGGGCAGCCGTCTGGGTCCCGCTGCCTCGTACCCTCGCTTCCTTGGAAGGTTCGGACCTCACTCCGACCGATGACTGCGCACATGCTCATCATGCCTTGGTGCCGAGACAGATACTCGGAAACTGGAACATATAGATTACCAGTGGCGGGCTGTTTGTCAATCCCAGGAATTCTTGAGGGTCGAGAACGACGCTGGGGTGGTGTGGTGTATACTTTTCCCCGATGTCCCGGGGAAACCACGAAAAATGTATACACCAGGGTCCCGTATACACCAGGATCCCGCTCTCCAGTGCAAATTCTGATGCAGGGCCGGAAGAAGCGTCGGTGTATAGAGCTCGATTCCCTAGATACTCCAGACGCAGATCGACTTTCCAACCCGCCCATGACCGACCATCCAATCGAATTTCCCGCCTCGCCACGGGTCGTCCTCGGGGTGCCAGGATCGTCCCGATCGGCCGCCAGAGACCAGAGCTGAGACTCGAAAACTGGACCTCTACTCCGACGGCGACCCAGACCTGCAACGCATGGCGAAAGTCAAGACGGACGCAACTCCCGCAAAGTTCGGGAAGCGCAGAGGAAGCCAGGGTGAGAGAGGCAGACGGGTGGACGGCAGGGACCGGAGGGGGGAGGACAGCGGGCGAGGGGGAACAAGGAAGTTGGAGAACTAAGAAAGGTGCGGGTAAAAGACAATCGGGAAAGCCTCTAGGGGACCCTCGTGGAGCCATCCTTGACCAAAGAACTGAGAATCGTAGAAGCAAAGATGCATAGAGGTACTGAACAGTGTTGGAGCCCGCTAGGGTATCCTTGGGTTCTTGCGGGAGCCCTCTCAAGACATCTCGGCGCACTTTCGCGCTATCGAAATGGGCCTCTCGGGGCCGTGGCGTTATCCCCTAGACGCCTTCTGGCCCTCCAGGCCTGTTTAAACCGATGTGGGTCAGCTGGGGGTCCTCTCGGGTCTTGTGGCCGTCTTGCGGCCAACATGACATGTCCCACGGCACGCTCAAGCGGGCCCAGGCAAAATCTTTAAGCCCAGAGTCCCACTCCCGCAGAGGTCCTGGAAACCAGTATTACACCATCTTGGGACCATCAGAAGACCGTTTTAACATGAAAAACATGTTTACACGTTATCAACTTTTCGGAGGCCTTTTTGGCACAACAAAAGCATTGGCTAAACGACAAAACGGACATGCCTCGCAACAAGTAGCGACGCCGTGCGGCATCAACGATCAGAATCCGTTTGCCGTGCTCGAAATTCGGGACCCATCCACACATGAGAAACGGTCAGCCGCTGAAGCAAACAGGCCAATCACCACTCCAATACCCCCTTTCACCGGCTTGAATGGCGTACGGATTGCTGCCAGTAGCTTGCTACCAATCATGCTCTCGACACAACTACCCGCTCGAAAGCTCGGTTGCTTCATGTGGGAAGGCACCAGATTGACCCGCACACCCTTGAACTTACATAAGAGACGGCTGTTCAACATAGACATGCCTTTCACAGCACCCTTGGACAACTTGCCGCAATTCTGTTCGTGATCAACCATGACCTCGACACAAACGTCAAATCGATGCTCCTTTCCTTCACTTGGGAAGGCACCGCATTGACATGCACAGCCCTGAACTCGCATAAGAAGTAACGGATGGGAAATGAAGGAGACATTAGTTCTTACCACCTCAAGTTACCCCTTGGACAACTTGCCGCCAACATAATCGTGATCAACCATGCTCTCGTCATAATCGCCAACTCGAAAGCTCGGTTGCTTCACATGGGAAGGCAACGTACGAAAACACACATCCTTGAACCTGCAAGTGAAATAACGGTCAGCAATTACAGGTACCATGCGTTTCACAACACCGATATCCCCCCTGAACACCTTGCAGCCATATTATTCGTGACCGACCATGATCTCGACACAACGGCCAACCTGGGAAGGCGACACATTCATCCGCACACACCTGGACTCGCATAAGAAACGGCCTGTGTTTGAAGTAGACATGCCTTCCACCACACCACTATCTCCCTTCGCCAACTTGCAGCTAGTACATTCGTGACCAATCCTGCTCTCGACAAAGTAGCAGGCGGGCATATTCAAATGCATAGTCTGTCGCGGACATGAAAGATATTCTGGGGGTCCAGCCGTGCTTGTCATACATCTTCGGCAACGACAATAGATCTTCAACTTCCTCTTTCTGAGCCTTGCCCGGAACTCGTGGTCCACCAGGCCCCATGAATTACGATCACGATCCACTTTGTCACTTGTTATTCCCCCGCTGAGCAACGCTCACCATTACCACCATCAGTCACTGTCCAGATTTCCGAGGACGGCTGGACGGCTCGAAAAGAGCAGCAAGCGCATCACGTTTTGATTTGGCAGCTGGAACGGCAAACGCACATGCATCCTTGTGGCAGCTGGCGGCGCATGTGCAAGTACTGCCTGCAAATCGACCATCGAGCAGGTCTATGATCTCTGGCACACGAAAAAAACGTCGGCCTGCCCATAGCAACAATACTTGCTCCTGGCTGAGCCAGGGACAGTGCTGGCAAAAACTTGAGCCAGTCGGCTTGAATATTCGACCAACAAGTGGGAAATTCCCCCCCCCCTCCAGAAATGCCCCCAAAACAACACAAAGCATAGAAACACTTGAAGGATTCGCGCAATTTTGACCGATATGAGCCACCTGGGAACACTTGTGGGATTCTCTTGTGACTGTCGATCGGCCCTTTGCGGTACATTCCGGAAACTCCAGGGCCCTCTTCGGCAGCCCCTGTTTGAAAACTCAAGACATCCGCAATGTTGACTCTTTGGGTCAACTCGGCATCCTCTTGAAGCTCTTTTTTGGCCGTCTTGCAGCACATGGCGCCTTTTATTTGTTTGAAAGACCGCTGATGGAAATTGCAAGCTTCCCAAGTCATGGGACAGGGACTCCACCATACCAGAAAAGGCCGACAAGGCCAACAAAAGACGAGGAGGGGGATGAGGAGTTCGTGCCTCGTGCCAGCCGCTGGTCGGCCGTACTGGGCGCCTCGCTTCGCGCACGCGGGGCCCTCTTGGGCCATCTTCACTTTGGCGGTCATGGGAGCTCCCGGACCCCTCCGACGCTCCCCGCGGCACACTCGGGGGCAGCAGTGGGCCGCACAGGCTCTAACCCGTCACAGGGCGCCGAGTCCAGATTCAGAACTGTTTTGCTCGTACATGTCACCCCATCCTCCTGTTTATTCGCATTCGCATCTACACCACCACCACTACCATCATACTGATGATCATAATCGTCATCAACATTAATTACCACCACACGCGTCATCATCATCATCACCATCGTTACCACCATCATCACCGTCACCATCACAACTCACAACTCACACCACCATCACCATCACCATCACCATCACCATCACCATCACCATTATCACCACCATCACCATCACAATCATGATGTGTTGCTTCGTCCCCGACTTCGTCGTCTTTCTCTGCCTCTTGCTGTCTCTCCTCAGTATCATCCGTCTCAACCTCCTCCTCCTCCTCCTCCTCCTCCTCCTCCTCGTCATGGCTCGTTTCCTCGTCAGGATGACGGAGGTAGGCAGGAGGATGGAGGAATGACAGATTATCCGTCGTCATCCTTCCCCCCCCACACGCCCTCCCCCCCCGCATGGCCACAACTAGAGCAATGCCAGCAAGCTCGGTGGAACTCCCAAAAACAAATCTGGCTCTCCTGGCCGTCCTGGGGCATCCTCCGAACCACTTGACGAGCATTGAGAGCTCCTTCACGCCCTGCCCTGGGCTCTCGCATGCCCGCTCGACGAGGCCCTCCCGGCACCGCGTCGGACGGCATGACGGGGGCCCTCCGGGGCCCAGCCGTGGCCCCTCGGGGCCCCAGGCTGGGAGAGCGGGGCGGGGCAGAGATGAAGGGACCCTGGGACACACACAAATACGCACAGATAAAAAGATTCCCCCTATTTTCGGGGTGGCGGTCTTGCCCCCCGCTGCCCATCTTTTCCTACAGTTTCGGGGAAATCGACGATGAATTGTGTCCATGTGCCTCTTCCCCGCCCGAAGAGAGAGAGAGAGAGAGAGAGAGAGAGAGAGAGAGAGAGAGAGAGAGACAAAAAAAACAAAAACAAAAAAAAGAGCAGCGGCGTGAGCCTGGCGGCGCAGCACACCTCACAGGCCCTGCTCGGCCCCTCTGCCGACCACCGCTCGCGGGCGGGCGCCCGCCGGCTCGAGCCCCCGGGGCCCCGGAGTCGCACGCACGGAGGGTCCCGGTGCGCGGGAGCCCGCGCGGCCAGCCCGGGCGGCCTGCGGGAGCCGCCCGAGCCGGGGCCCCTGCTCTCGTGCCGCGGAGGAGGAGGAGGAAGAGGAGGAGGAGGAGGAGGAGGAGGAGGAGGAGGAGGAGGAGGAGGAGGCAGGAGGAGGAGGAGCCCAGCGTACCAGGTCTGTCTGGCAGGGGCGCCTAGGGCGCCTCGAGGGGCGGCGCGGGGGCGCCTCGGTAGAAGTCGCTGAAGGGCGTCTCCAGCACCGTCATGTTGGACGGAGGAG